GTAAATAGCGCGTGTGACGGGAGCAGACGCAGTGCTGTATTCTAGTCAGTGCGCAGTATTGCAGATAACCAACGACTCACCATCAGGCGTGGTGTTACCAGGGATTTCCCATCTTTGGAGGTCGTTGCTATGGGGACCAAGGCCTTGGTAATGGTTGGGATGTGTTTGTGTGCACGTGGATAATAACATGTAGTGACGTTCCTGCATTTCAGCACTGGCATGTTCAGTTGTCTCCAGATCAGCATACAGCGAATCTTGGGCTTGTTCAATATTAGCTGGTGCCGTTGACGACTGCACATGGACAAAATCCGGCATGGTGCCATCATCAGTCATGGAGCAGGACCAGGGCGTGACGTTCGCGATCTTCGAGTCTACGGCTTCAATGTAATATGGGCCCTGGGATGTGTCCGTTGCTACTTGGTCGTATTGTTGGGGGCGAGCTGTGGTAGACGGAGGTGTTCTTGGAGTGTGCAAGCTTACCGCTTCTCCATTTTCTTGTCGAGAGTGGCCACTTGTTGAGGGAGATTCGCGCTTCATTCGATACAGAAGTACGAGTAGAATGGAGAGGGTGAAGAGAAGCAAGGGAATATTAAAGCCCAGGGTAAGACCATATAATTTACCTGTCCCGGGAACAATTATGATCCTCTCCACCGCTTCCGTAGCGCTTGGTGAGCCACGCTTGGACGATCCTGGCGATGGTGAACTTGCATGTTGTGAGGCTCCAGAAGGTAGAACTTCCGTTGAGGTTTCACTGGCCGATTTATAATCGAATGTGTTAGGTGCACTGAAACCCAAACTAGCGTCAGTTGAGTTTGGTGATAGGAAGGCATTGGAAAGAGGAGACGATTCGGCGTAGGCCTTGGCAACCCGAGGCGTGGTTGATGGAGAGACTGTAGCTGCAGCAATTGTGTCGGAGGTAATCCGTAGATTAGTAACGGCAGACGATGAGACTCTCGTGGAGGCGGTCGATGGAGTAGCGCTAGTAGTTGCTTGAGGTACTATGGATGTTTTCGTTAGAGGAGAGGTTGTACTTCGCGTAGTAGGGTGAACTGCAGTAGTGGTTGGACACGCGTAGTTAGATGCAGTACCACAATAGTATTGGTATTGACTTGTACCAGTTGCTCCCAATGCAGGACAGCTTTGATAGAGTGTCTGGCAGTTGTCACATGTAGCCTGGTTGCACGCATTGGATGCTGCAGAAATACATGTAAGGGCAAAAATTAACAGATTGTGATTAGCAATCGGTGATGGAAACAGGTTTGACACTTTATTTTATCAAAGAACACATCTTTGAAATTGCAATCCTAAGGACAGACCATGCGATCACCAATATTCTGTCCGCCATCGTCCAACAGATTCAATTTTGACTGAGGTATCGTACATTCGATTCAAGCAATATAACCGCAATAGTAATCAACTGATTTTACCACCCTTGTCATAACAAAATACATTGCGGGCGTACAGTGACAGCTCCATTAATTTTGCGATAGTATTCTCTCTAGAATTTTACTATTGCTCAGCACAGCGGTCAAAGATGGGAACTGAGTACAAGTTAAGTTAACATGATCATTATGTGAAAATTGCCGGTAGTTCAAGAATGCCTGCCACATGTACTAATCACTCCTTGCCACTGTTCGGGGAAGTAAATTAGTATGAGTACGGAAATGAATGGCACTTACCACGGATGGTCATCGTGACACGAGGCTCCAGAGCAGCACCCCAGGCAAACGTCTGTAAGACACGTGGTGAGCTGCCTTCCGGCAAGACCCAAGACACTCTTGACGAGGCAGCTTTATAGCTCAATGGGCAGTAGGCTTTCATGGTGATCCCGAGGATGTATGCTTCAGTAACACTGCTGTTATCAGATATGTAGTCGTTAACGCTCACCCCAGTCCATGTTGCAATACCCGTTATATGTGTGCTAGGTGGAATGCGTTCAGAGGCAATCTGATACTTTCCCCCAGGGAATTCCTTCAATAGGACCAACATCGGATCGCACGACTTTTGAGCCACATCTGCAGTAATATCGATCTGGACAAATATACAGCTGCTGTAGAAGGATATGTTCGGGAAAGGAATAATTGTCCGCGGTTGGAGAATTGGTCCAGCACCAGGCGTACTTTCCAGCTTCATATGATTGTCAATGGTCAGATTTCCTGGAGTTTGTGACAATGTGCATTGTGCTGAGACTGCAAGGGGGAGACAGACAGGTAGTAACATTCCCACGTAAAATACACACACGCATATGAACAAATCTTCACATGGGCGTTGTTCGTGGTTGAAGAAAGTTGTCTAGCATCAGGCGCACGTGTCAGCTTCAAAATGATTATCAATGGTCGAGTTTGCTCGACTTTGTAATGATGTGCACGCTGACGAGACTGCAATATGGATAACATGTATCCATATTGCAGTCTCGTCTAATACAAGTTGAAACATTCTCACACAAACAAACCAAGCGAACAAACAAACATGCTCATTATTTACCCAAATGAACACGCTCCGTCAAGCACTCCGACAATCCCCCACCCTACAACACACACACACACACACACACACACACACACACACACAATTGTACTTGTTGCACACTGCCAGAACTGGTCACGTGGGTCTCCCCGGGAGAGAGGAGAGAGACTCAAAAGGAATCTTGGAAAGATGACTCAATTGGCTATTGAACCGCCCAACGGCCGATACACCCTGAAATCCCCAAAACTCTGGGTCGACTTGAAACGGATCCCACTTATGGGCTCACCACACCTCAGTAAGTGGGTGAGGACAAGGTGCAGAAAAAGGATGGGATCCAACTGCAGTTACCCCTGCCCCCAGTGAAGGTAATACGTGCTACTAGTGTGGGTGGCTAAATCAGAGTGGATCTGTTAATAGCTTTACTAGCACCATTGATTACACAAGAGTTAATCTAGCCAGAAGCAGTCCATGGTTAACAGGTATGTATACTTCAAATAGAAAGTATATGAACCCTGGAACCAACAAAAGGTGGCAGGTACAACATTACACCTTCAAGTAGCCGAGCCCATTGGCAACAGACCCAACACAATCAGGCATAAGTGTACCCACTAACCGAACTAGCTGGCACACACACACACACACACACACACACACAGAGAAAATGTAGGATGCACTTGCTCAACGCTGGAAAGCATAAAGCAGGCAGGCAGGTGTTATTTTACTCTTGCTCCGAAGTATGCGTTTTGAAGTGTTCGGTATCCAGAAGAAACATTAGCCACATCATTAGCCACAACATCTATAATAAGTGACCATCAGTGTACGTGTGCACCCCGCTATGTGCTCTCCGCCGGCACATTCAGCTTCTATATCACTTGTATACCACTCTAAGTTTAAAACGCCCTCAATATTTCGGCTTTATTATTAAATATGTTATGTATTGGGGCTCCTCTTGTGGTTTGTACGTGAAGTTAGTGGGTTGAAGTGAGGGCTGCGTCCCACCAGCCGCCGTAGATTCACAGGAAGCGTGAGTTTCGAAGTCTGATAAAACGTAATTATGTGAACGGTCCCTGTTTGGATGCCGACTGCGCCAACTGTTAGCCATAAGTGAGGAGAGTTCTTGGTTCGATTCCAGCGGGTGAGAGTCAATTGTTTCGTCACACCTTTCTAGTTTGCAACTTTCCCGCTAACTAATGAACAGGTCCGTTTTTCGTATTTGGCAGTGCTGTAACTCGGGATGCTCTATGCGGATAGCAGTGTTTAATGTTGCAGGGTAGTGCTGTACAAAGTCGCATCACTTATCAGTTATCACAATGGAAAAGCAAAATTTAGTGCGTTGAAGAAAACTAGTAAACTGTTTTATAGTGATCCTGACATTAGCGGGGTGGTCTCATCTACAAACTTGTAGAATCTTACCTGTTGCTCCACTGTGCGTTGGTATCACTACGAACACACCAACGGTAAACACCACTATCAGCAGTCCGCTGTGCATTGTCACCACCAGCTGGTATCGTTGTTCCTGCAAATGTATCTATCTTTCAAGACGACGTGATCGGATAGGAAATGTGTTAAGCGGCAGTGGAAAAAAACGCATGAGAAACTTCACTTGAACTGGAATCTTTTGTTGCAGAGCAATTTGTTCCTAAAGCTCTACTGCGTGATAATCGTGATCTACATGTAGTTTAGAAGGGAAATGATGCTCCAGTCTAAGGCGACTTGCAGGTCTGATGAAGCATTGCTGACTACTCTACCAGCGACCTGAGCTACGAATTGTGTTCTAGGATAGTCTGTAGTGCGGTGTGCAGTGTGCAGTGTGCTGACTGTTTGGCTCGGGCCTTTACTCTCCAAGCCACTTGCTGCATTCGGAAGCAAACAGGCCACCGCTACCGGATGATTTTATTCGTACGTATACATCAACGTAGAAGTACAGCCACTAGCGGTAGTTATTGATGCTTCCAGAGGATGTTCAACATCTTGTTGTTGCTGCTGTTGTGGCTGTTTTGGATTTTGTTGTTGCTGTTGTTTGAAATCTTTTATTCTCAGGATGGCCTGTGGCCAAAAAAGAAGTTGCTGTTGTTGTTGTTTTTGTTGTTGTTGTTGTTATTGTTGTTGTTGTTGTTGTTGTTGTTGTTGTTGTTGTTGTTGTTGTTGTTGTTGTTGTTGTTGTTGTTGTTGTTGTTGTTGTTGTTGTTGTTGTCCGAGATGCATGGTCACACTAGCCGGTGTCGTTGCTCCTAAAAACGTATGTATCTTTTAAGACGACGTGATCGGATAGGAAATGTGTTAAGCGGCAGTGGAAAAAAACGCATGAGAAACTTTACTTGAACTGGAATCTTTTGTTGCAGAGCAATTTGCTCCCAAAGCTCTACAGTGTGATAATCGCGATCTACATGAAGTTTTGAAGGGAAATGATGCTCCAGTCTAAGGCGACTTGCAGGTCTCAAGAAGCATTGCTCACTACTCTACCAACGACCTGCTCTACGGTTTGTGCTCTAGCTTAGTCTATAGTGTAGTGTGCTGTGTGCAGTGTTGACTTGTTTGCTTGGCCTTTACTTTCCAAGTCACTTTTTGCATTCGGACACAAACAGGCCACAGCGACCGGATGATTCCATGCGTAAATCAACGTAGAAGTACAGCCACCAGCGGTAGTTATTGCTACTTCGACAGGATGTTCAACTATCTTGCTTTTGCTGCTGTTGTTTTTATTGTTGTTGTTGTTGTTGTTGTTGTTGTTGTTGTTGTTGTTGTTGTTGTTGTTGTTGTTGTTGTTGTTGTTGTTGTTGTTGTTGTTGTTGTTGTTGTTGTTGTTGTTGTTGTTGTTGTTGTTGTTGTTGTTGTTGTTGTTGTTGTTGTTGTTGTTGTTGTTGTTGTTGTTGTTGTTGTTGTTGTTGTTGTTGTTGTTGTTGTTGTTGTTGTTGTTGTTGTTGTTGTTGTTGTTGTTGTTGTTGTTGTTGTTGTTGTTGTTGTTGTTGTTGTTGTTGTTGTTGTTGTTGTTGTTGTTGTTGTTGTTGTTGTTGTTGTTGTTGTTGTTGTTGTTGTTGTTGTTGTTGTTGTTGTTGTTGTTGTTGTTGTTGTTGTTGTTGTTGTTGTTGTTGTTGTTGTTGTTGTTGTTGTTGTTGTTGTTGTTGTTGTTGTTGTTGTTGTTGTTGTTGTTGTTGTTGTTGTTGTTGTTGTTGTTGTTGTTGTTGTTGTTGTTGTTGTTGTTGTTGTTGTTGTTGTTGTTGTTGTTGTTGTTGTTGTTGTTGTTGTTGTTGTTGTTGTTGTTGTTGTTGTTGTTGTTGTTGTTGTTGTTGTTGTTGTTGTTGTTGTTGTTGTTGTTGTTGTTGTTGTTGTTGTTGTTGTTGTTGTTGTTGTTGTTGTTGTTGTTGTTGTTGTTGTTGTTGTTGTTGTTGTTGTTGTTGTTGTTGTTGTTGTTGTTGTTGTTGTTGTTGTTGTTGTTGTTGTTGTTGTTGTTGTTGTTGTTGTTGTTGTTGTTGTTGTTGTTGTTGTTGTTGTTGTTGTTGTTGTTGTTGTTGTTGTTGTTGTTGTTGTTGTTGTTGTTGTTGTTGTTGTTGTTGTTGTTGTTGTTGTTGTTGTTGTTGTTGTTGTTGTTGTTGTTGTTGTTGTTGTTGTTGTTGTTGTTGTTGTTGTTGTTGTTGTTGTTGTTGTTGTTGTTGTTGTTGTTGTTGTTGTTGTTGTTGTTGTTGTTGTTGTTGTTGTTGTTGTTGTTGTTGTTGTTGTTGTTGTTGTTGTTGTTGTTGTTGTTGTTGTTGTTGTTGTTGTTGTTGTTGTTGTTGTTGTTGTTGTTGTTGTTGTTGTTGTTGTTGTTGTTGTTGTTGTTGTTGTTGTTGTTGTTGTTGTTGTTGTTGTTGTTGTTGTTGTCAGGATGGCCTGTGGCCAATAAGAGAAGTTTCTGTTGTTGTTGTAGTTGTTTTTATTTATTTATTTATTTATTCAACATCTCCTGGCCCGTCCGAAGACTGCCAATAAACATGAGAGGTCAGGTGATAGCCAACCACGGCAAGCTAAAAGGGAGAAAAAGAAAGATGCTGTCAGAGAGGGAAAGGAGATAGGGAGAGAAAAAGAAAGGGAGGCACATTAGTAATACATGGGATCACTTCGGATGAGACAGTGTGGAAAGCTGGACTTTGAATTTCCTGATATCCTGGCATGTCTTAATGCTAGTAGGCAGGTTAGACCAAAGGGAGTGTGCTGAGAAGAAAGGGGATTTCAAAAACAGAGAGGAACTAGCTCGGGGCAGTGATAAGGCATTGCGTGTTGGTCTAGTGGTAACAAACCAGTTGTACTTGGCAATATGTTTCGGGACTTGGGCTAGGAAGATTTTTTGCACAAGGATACAAAGATGCTGCTGATGTCGGGCAAGAAGAGGGTGCGTGGAAGCAAGTTTATAAAGACAAAGGGAGGCAAATGTTTGGTCTTTTCGAAACAGAATTTTCAGAAGCAAGCGTTGATGTACTTCCAGTCTGTGGAGTAAAGTCTGAGACAACCCGCACCAAGCTATATCGCAATAGTCAAATATAGGCAAAATGTACGACTTAAAGAACAATTTTCTGCAGTTATCATTCAAGTGTTGGCAGTGGGGTTGTAGCATACCTAAGGACGCACTCGCACGCTTGCACACAGACTGGACTTGTGGAGACCAGGAGGGTTGGCGGTCGAGAATAACGCCCAGGTGCTTGTGCTCGTTAACAACTTTAATAGGTGTACTATTTAGACCAGGAAAATACAGAAGCTGAGTGGGGGGCGAGGGAGAGAAGAACATGGCCTCGGTTTTGGCGAGGTTAGGCTTCAGTTTCCAGGTTTCCATCCATGTTACTGTAGCGTTGACCCCGGACTGCATGGAGGCCGTGAGGTTGTCTGCCGAGCTGTCGGAGCACATCAGAGCAGTGTCGTCAGCAAAAAGACTTACATTTGGTACAAGGGCTGGCAAGTCATTAACGTACAGTAAAAATAGGAGCGGCCCAAGTATGGACCCCTGGGGTACCCCAGACACGACTAGTAATGGGTCTGATAGGGAGGTAGATACTCTGACAGTCTGGTGGCGGCAGGAAAGATAGGATGAGAGCCATTGCAGGGCTGGACCATGTACCAAGAAGACGGACTCTAGCTTTGCAAGCAGACCACGATGCCAGACGGTGTCGAAAGCTTTCGGTTTACTGTTGTTGTTGTTGTTGTTGTTGTTGTTGTTGTTGTTGTTGTTGTTGTTGTTGTTGTTGTTGTTGTTGTTGTTGTTGTTGTTGTTGTTGTTGTTGTTGTTGTTGTTGTTGTTGTTGTTGTTGTTGTTGTTGTTGTTGTTGTTGTTGTTGTTGTTGTTGTTGTTGTTGTTGTTGTTGTTGTTGTTGTTGTTGTTGTTGTTGTTGTTGTTGTTGTTGTTGTTGTTGTTGTTGTTGTTGTTGTTGTTGTTGTTGTTGTTGTTGTTGTTGTTGTTGTTGTTGTTGTTGTTGTTGTTGTTGTTGTTGTTGTTGTTGTTGTTGTTGTTGTTGTTGGTGTTGTTGTTGTTGTTGTTGTTGTTGTTGTTGTTGTTGTTGTTGTTGTTGTTGTTGTTGTTGTTGTTGTTGTTGTTGTTGTTGTTGTTGTTGTTGTTGTTGTTGTTGTTGTTGTTGTTGTTGTTGTTGTTGTTGTTGTTGTTGTTGTTGTTGTTGTTGTTGTTGTTGTTGTTGTTGTTGTTGTTGTTGTTGTTGTTGTTGTTGTTGTTGTTGTTGTTGTTGTTGTTGTTGTTGTTGTTGTTGTTGTTGTTGTTGTTGTTGTTGTTGTTGTTGTTGTTGTTGTTGTTGTTGTTGTTGTTGTTGTTGTTGTTGTTGTTGTTGTTGTTGTTGTTGTTGTTGTTGTTGTTGTTGTTGTTGTTGTTGTTGTTGTTGTTGTTGTTGTTGTTGTTGTTGTTGTTGTTGTTGTTGTTGTTGTTGTTGTTGTTGTTGTTGTTGTTGTTGTTGTTGTTGTTGTTGTTGTTGTTGTTGTTGTTGTTGTTGTTGTTGTTGTTGTTGTTGTTGTTGTTGTTGTTGTTGTTGTTGTTGTTGTTGTTGTTGTTGTTGTTGTTGTTGTTGTTGTTGTTGTTGTTGTTGTTGTTGTTGTTGTTGTTGTTGTTGTTGTTGTTGTTGTTGTTGTTGTTGTTGTTGTTGTTGTTGTTGTTGTTGTTGTTGTTGTTGTTGTTGTTGTTGTTGTTGTTGTTGTTGTTGTTGTTGTTGTTGTTGTTGTTGTTGTTGTTGTTGTTGTTGTTGTTGTTGTTGTTGTTGTTGTTGTTGTTGTTGTTGTTGTTGTTGTTGTTGTTGTTGTTGTTGTTGTTGTTGTTGTTGTTGTTGTTGTTGTTGTTGTTGTTGTTGTTGTTGTTGTTGTTGTTGTTGTTGTTGTTGTTGTTGTTGTTGTTGTTGTTGTTGTTGTTGTTGTTGTTGTTGTTGTTGTTGTTGTTGTTGTTGTTGTTGTTGTTGTTGTTGTTGTTGTTGTTGTTGTTGTTGTTGTTGTTGTTGTTGTTGTTGTTGTTGTTGTTGTTGTTGTTGTTGTTGTTGTTGTTGTTGTTGTTGTTGTTGTTGTTGTCAGGATGGCCTGTGGCCAATAAGAGAAGTTTCTGTTGTTGTTGTAGTTGTTTTTATTTATTTATTTATTTATTCAACATCTCCTGGCCCGTCCGAAGACTGCCAATAAACATGAGAGGTCAGGTGATAGCCAACCACGGCAAGCTAAAAGGGAGAAAAAGAAAGATGCTGTCAGAGAGGGAAAGGAGATAGGGAGAGAAAAAGAAAGGGAGGCACATTAGTAATACATGGGATCACTTCGGATGAGACAGTGTGGAAAGCTGGACTTTGAATTTCCTGATATCCTGGCATGTCTTAATGCTAGTAGGCAGGTTAGACCAAAGGGAGTGTGCTGAGAAGAAAGGGGATTTCAAAAACAGAGAGGAACTAGCTCGGGGCAGTGATAAGGCATTGCGTGTTGGTCTAGTGGTAACAAACCAGTTGTACTTGGCAATATGTTTCGGGACTTGGGCTAGGAAGATTTTTTGCACAAGGATACAAAGATGCTGCTGATGTCGGGCAAGAAGAGGGTGCGTGGAAGCAAGTTTATAAAGACAAAGGGAGGCAAATGTTTGGTCTTTTCGAAACAGAATTTTCAGAAGCAAGCGTTGATGTACTTCCAGTCTGTGGAGTAAAGTCTGAGACAACCCGCACCAAGCTATATCGCAATAGTCAAATATAGGCAAAATGTACGACTTAAAGAACAATTTTCTGCAGTTATCATTCAAGTGTTGGCAGTGGGGTTGTAGCATACCTAAGGACGCACTCGCACGCTTGCACACAGACTGGACTTGTGGAGACCAGGAGGGCTGGCGGTCGAGAATAACGCCCAGGTGCTTGTGCTCGTTAACAACTTTAATAGGTGTACTATTTAGACCAGGAAAATACAGAAGCTGAGTGGGGGGCGAGGGAGAGAAGAACATGGCCTCGGTTTTGGCGAGGTTAGGCTTCAGTTTCCAGGTTTCCATCCATGTTACTGTAGCGTTGACCCCGGACTGCATGGAGGCCGTGAGGTTGTCTGCCGAGCTGTCGGAGCACATCAGAGCAGTGTCGTCAGCAAAAAGACTTACATTTGGTACAAGGGCTGGCAAGTCATTAACGTACAGTAAAAATAGGAGCGGCCCAAGTATGGACCCCTGGGGTACCCCAGACACGACTAGTAATGGGTCTGATAGGGAGGTAGATACTCTGACAGTCTGGTGGCGGCAGGAAAGATAGGATGAGAGCCATTGCAGGGCTGGACCATGTACCAAGAAGACGGACTCTAGCTTTGCAAGCAGACCACGATGCCAGACGGTGTCGAAAGCTTTCGGTTTACTGTTGTTGTTGTTGTTGTTGTTGTTGTTGTTGTTGTTGTTGTTGTTGTTGTTGTTGTTGTTGTTGTTGTTGTTGTTGTTGTTGTTGTTGTTGTTGTTGTTGTTGTTGTTGTTGTTGTTGTTGTTGTTGTTGTTGTTGTTGTTGTTGTTGTTGTTGTTGTTGTTGTTGTTGTTGTTGTTGTTGTTGTTGTTGTTGTTGTTGTTGTTGTTGTTGTTGTTGTTGTTGTTGTTGTTGTTGTTGTTGTTGTTGTTGTTGTTGTTGTTGTTGTTGTTGTTGTTGTTGTTGTTGTTGTTGTTGTTGTTGTTGTTGTTGTTGTTGTTGTTGGTGTTGTTGTTGTTGTTGTTGTTGTTGTTGTTGTTGTTGTTGTTGTTGTTGTTGTTGTTGTTGTTGTTGTTGTTGTTGTTGTTGTTGTTGTTGTTGTTGTTGTTGTTGTTGTTGTTGTTGTTGTTGTTGTTGTTGTTGTTGTTGTTGTTGTTGTTGTTGTTGTTGTTGTTGTTGTTGTTGTTGTTGTTGTTGTTGTTGTTGTTGTTGTTGTTTGTGTTGTTGTTGTTGTTGTTGTTTAGAACACTAACCTACTATTGTTACCGTACAGAATATTCAAGTAGGTCAGTGGCTCAGTGCAGGTATGCAATGAATTAATCATCCTATTCTACTTGTCGTACAAAATGTGTTTTTCTCATAGGACCAACTAACGTGACCTACTAATACCGCCCAAGTCGCTGCTACTTATAAGCGCATAGTGGTATCCCTCATGCAGACGTGTGAGTTGTTGTTGGAGGTGATAGCGTTGTGCACAGCTGCTGGCTTTCAGCGTCTGTTTAGCGGCACTCAATGAGCGATTCCTGCTCACCTGCTACTTTGGGCTTCACGAGGTGTTGGTTGCGCTGTAAACAGAGCGTTATTGTTATCCTGTATCCGTAGTGCTATTTGGATTGCGTGAGCGCTATACAATGTAGTGCGACGTGCTATCTTAATGTCTGTGGTGCAACCTTTGCAACATAGCCAGTAGTTTCGGTTCCAATTGGGTTCGGATGTAGTACTCCAGTCTTGGAACACAATCGTCCTCAGCCTACGCAAGCTGAACTTGTGACGGAATTACCCGAAACACTGTGTAATGAGCAGGGAATGGGGAATTCTTGCAGGTTTTCTTAGTGGAAGGTTCAGTGGACTTCTTGTGTGCTCTTGTTGGCGGTCGTGAGTCAGTCAAGTGTCAAGTTCTGCAGGAGCAAGGAGGCATGAGGGATGGGTTGGTAAGGAGGGATTGTGATGCGTTGGGTGGGGTTTGGGGGAGCAAGGGAGGGAAGGAGGGAGGTAGGAGAGAGATATAGGGAGATTGAGAAAATTAATAAGGAAAGAGGGACAGAGAGAGGCGTAGGGACAGAGAGAGGCGTAGAGAGAAACATCCATTCATTATTCCAGCAAATGTGTGTCGCATTGTGAGTTCAATTGATTTCATAACAGTGATGAAGTATGGAGAGTATCATAATCTACCATTTGAGCCTTTGCATTTATTGTATTGAACAAAGGCACAATTGTGTATAATGTGCCATGCACACGATTGAAGACAGGTTTTTAAGCCATTGCAAGAGTCGCCAAATTGAAAAAAAAACATAGTGCAGTGCTATCTACCATTGGTCTTAAAATGCCACATGGCCTGGTTACGGCAGAAATTTATTCGCCACCCTACTGTGCTGGCGGTGCAAGCTGACTGCTATGATCATGTAGACTAGGCAGTCAGCAGAGATATCAGATATCACTCCAAGGAAAACTACAATACTACTCTAGCCAGAAATACTAAGAGACGCTATAATATAAGCTGTTACAGAGGCGTGGATCGGTGTAACGGGAAGGCACATCCATACGCCTAAAGAAACGTGCGGGATCAAATCGACAAAATTTAATTGATCTGCGACAGTTGTCCTGTCAACCAGATAATCATTGGCAGAACAGCAATGAGTCAAGTCAAGAACACTAAACTAGTTTTGATAGGCCCTGGTGTCCATGATAATCATAATTATGTCACTTGCTTTGGAATCAATAGCCTCGTTGGTCGCTTATCCGCAGGGGGTATTTGCGTCGTGAATTTGCTGCTCTGGGCGTTGTTGTTTGTTGTATTAGGATCTGAGGTGACTGTGTACGTTAGAATGGAGTAGTTGGTCAAGCTTCAGGAACAGCGTCGACGCAGTCACTCACTATTAGAGGAGTGTAAATAAGGTGTGTGACGGGAGCAGATGCTGTGCTGTATTCCAGTGAGCGGGCGGTATTGCAGATAACCAACGTAGCATCATCAGGTTAGGTGTCAACAAGGGATTCCCCGCTGGCAAGGTCGCGACTATGGGGACCAAGACCTTCGTAAGGGTTGCGATGTGCTCGTGTACGCTTAGATAGTAACGTGTGGGGACATTCTTGCGCATCAATACTGGCATTTTCTGTTGTCTCCAGATCAGCATACAGCGAATCTTGGGTTTGTTCACTATTAGCTGGTGCCGTGGACGACTGCACATGGACAAATTCCGACATGGTGCCATCAGTCATGGAAAAGGACTTGGGCGTGGCGTTCGCGGTCATCAAGTCTACCGCGTCAATATAGTAAGGGCCCTCGGACGTGTCAGTTGCTACTTGGCGGCATTGTTCGGGGCGGGCTGGTGCAGACGGAGGTGATGTTGGAGTCTGCAAGCCTACCGCTTCTCTTTTTTCTTGTCGAGAGTGGCCGCGTGCTGAGAGAGATTCGCGCTTCATTCGATACAGAAGTACGAGTAGAATGGAGAGGGTGAGAAGAAGCAAGGAAATATTGAAGCCCATAGTAAGTCCGCTTGATTGCCCTGTCCCGGGAAGTATTATGACTCTATCCACCGCTTCTGTAGCACTTGGTGATCCACGCTTGGATGATCCTGGCGGTGGCGCACTTGCATGTTGTGAAGATCCAGAAACTAAAACTTCCGCTGAGGTTTCACTGGCCGATCTATATTCGAATGTGTTAGTCCGTAGATTAGTAACGGCAGACGATGAAGGTCTTGTGGAGGTGGTCGATGGAGTAGCGCTAGTTGCTACTTGAGGCACTATGGATGTTTTCGTTAGAGGAGAGGTTGTACTGGTCGTAGTAGGCTGAACTGCAGTAGTCGTTGGACACGTGTAGTTAGATGCAGTACCGCAATAGTATTGATAGGTAGTTTTACCAGTTGCTCCCAACGCAGGACAGCTTTGATAGAGCGTCTGGCAGTTGTCACATGTAGCCTGGTTGCACGCATTGGATGCTGCAGAAATACATGTAAGGGCAAAAATTAACAGATTGTGATTGGCAATCGGTGATGGAAACAGGTTTGACACTTTATTTTATCAAAGAACACACCTTCGACATTTCAATCCTAAGGACAGACCATGAGAGCACCATTATCCTGTCCGCTATGGTCGAACAGATTCGCTTTTGTCTGAGGGACATTCGATTCAAGGAATCTAAACGCTATAGTAATCAGCTAATCTGACCACCCTTATTATAACGAAATACATCGGTTTACAGTCACAGCTCCATTTGCTAAAGTAATCTCGTTGTTGTTGTTGTTGTTGTTGTTGTTGTTGTTTTTTATTTGAATTCGCAATACCAAACGGGCAATAAGCCCAATTACATGGAAGCGAATAAAAGAATGCTAAGAATGAGGCATTGGAGTGGATATAATTTCAAGTGGAAATACTGATCCCGGGACGTACTACAAATAGGTACAATGAAAATCTCAAAAGGCCATGGTACTGTCGTTTACCATGCTGGAAGCAGCTAGGAAAAACAACAAGAAAGACGTTTTATCTCATGTATTCAGACAGAGCTAACAGGAGAAGACCGTTCGCTATATGCCTATACATACTGTCCGTGTGTGTGTGTGGGGGGGGGGGGGCATATCACTGTTTCTTTTCTTTTTTTATGGCCTGAGAGTGTACGGGTGAACGGCTGCTGCGAAATCGGCCACGGCTTTGCAGGAACGTACACTGGCTGGCAGAGTGTTCCACAGCGCAGGTCCACGGAAGAATGGTCGGCGAGTGCCTGTACTCGTCCTGGCCAGCGGGAGAATGGGCCCGGCGTTGGCTTGATGTCGGGTCGGGGCCGTGGTTGCGGGCGTCAGCTGCTTTGAAAGCGCTGTACTACATTGGCCGTTCAGGCCGCGCCAGATGAGATCGAGGAGGGGGTAATCTCTCTCGCATTCTAGTATTGCTCAGCACAGCGGTCTAGGATGGCAACTGTCTACAGTTTAACCTGATATGTGAGAGTTGCTGGTAGTTCAAGAATGCCTGCCACATGTACTAATCACTCCTTGCCACTGTTCGGGGAAGTAAATGAGTAGAGAGTTCGGGAATGAATAGCACTTACCACGGATGGTCATCGTGACAGGAGGCTCCAGTGCAGCACCATAGGAAAACTTCTGTAAGACATCTGGTGTGCTACCTTGCAGCATTACCCAGGCGACCTCCGGCAAGGTAGCTTTTGAATTCAACTGGCATCCGACTTGCAGAGTCATTCCAATGATAAAAGCTTCTGTCACTCTGCTGTTATGAGATGCGTAGTGATCAAGGCTCACCCCAGTCCATGTTGCAATACCCGTTATATGTGTGGTAGGTGGAATGTGTTCAGAGGCAATCTGATACTTTCCCCCATGGAATTCCTTCAATAGCACTAACGTTGCGTTGCAGGATTGTCCAATCTCTTCTGCAGTAAGGTCAATCTGGACAAATGAACAGCTGCTGTAGAAGGATATGTTCGGGAAAGGAATAATTGTCCGCGGTTGGAGAATTGGTCCAGCACCAGACGTACTTTCCAGCTTCATATGATTGTCAATGGTCAGATTTCCTGGACTTTGTGACAATGTGCATGGTGCTGAGACTGCAAGGGGGAGACAGACAGGTAGTAACATTCCCATGTAAAATACACACACCGGTATGAACAAACCTTCACATAGGTGTTGTTCGTGGTTGAAGAATGTTGTCTAACATCAGGCGCACTTGTCATTTTTAAAATGATTATCAATGGTCAAATTTGCTCGACTTTGTAATGATGTGCACGCTGACGAGACTGCAATATGGCATTTATCCATATTGCAGTCTCGCCTAAGACAAGTTGAAACATTCCCACACAAACAAACCAAGCGAACAGACACACATGCTCATTATCTACCCAGATGAACACGCTCGCTCGAGCACTCCGACACCCCTCCCACCTTTCAATACACACACACACACACACGCACACACGCACACACACACACACACACACACAGAAAATGTAATATGCACTTGCTCAGTGCTGGAAAGTATAAAAGCAGGCAGGCAGATGCTATTTTACTCAAACTCCGAAGTATGCGTTTTGAAGTGTTCGGTATCCAGAAAAAACATTAGCCACAACATCTATAATAAGTGACCATCAGTGTACGTGTGCATTCCGCTATGTGCTCTCCGCCTGCACATTCAGCTTGTATATCATTTGTATACCACTCTAAGTTTAAAACGCCCTCAATATTTCGGCTTTTTTATTGAACATGTTATGTATTGGGGCTCCTCTTGTGCTGGTTTGTACGTGAAGTTAGTGGGTTAAAGTGAGGGCTGCGTCCAACCAGTCGCCGTGGATTCACAGGAAGCGTGAGTTTCGAAGTCTGATAAAACATAATCATGTGAACGGTCGCTGTTTGGATGTCGACTGCGCCAACTGTTGGCCATGAGTGAGGAGAGTTCTTGGTTCGAGTCCAGCGGGTGAGAGTCAATTGTTTCGCCACACCTTTCTAGTTTGCAACTTTCCCGCTAACTAATGAACAGGTCCGTTTTTTTCGTATTTGGCAGTGCTGTAACTCGGGATGCTCTATGCGGATAGCAGTGTTTACTGTTGCAGGGTAGTGCTGCAAATAGTGGCATCACTTATCAGTTATCACAATGGCACAGCAAAATGTAGTGCGTTGAAGAAAACTAGTAAACTGTTTTATAGTGATCCTGACATTAGCGGGGTGGTCTCATCTACAAACTTGTAGAATCTTACCTGTTGCTCCACTGTGTGTTGGTACCACTACGAACACACCAACGGTAAACACCACTATCAGCAGTCCGCTGTGCATTGTCACCACTAGCTGGTATCGTTGTTCCTGCAAGTGTATCTATCTTTCAAGACGACGTGATCGGATAGGAAATGTGTTAAGCGGCAGTGGAAAAAAAACGCATGAGAAACTCCACTTGAACTGGAATCTTTTGTTGCTGAGCAATTTGTTCCTAAAGCTCTACTGCGTGATAATCGCGATCTAAGTGAAGTTTTGAAGGGAAATGATGCCCCAGTGTAATGAATCTTGCAGGTCTGATGAAGCATTGCTGACTACTCTACCAGCGACCTGCTCTCCGGTTTGTGTTCTAAGATAGTCTGTAGTGCGGTGTGCAGTGTGCAGTGTGCTGACTGTTCGGCTCGGCCTTTACTCTCCAAGTCACTTGCTGCATTCGGCAGCAAACAGGCCACTGCTACCGGATGATTTCATTCGTACGTATAAATCAACGTAGAAGTACAGCCACTAGCGGTAGTTATTGATGCTTCCAGAGGATGTTCAACATCTTGTTGTTGCTGCTGTTGTGGCTGGTTTTGATTTTGTTGTTGCTGTTGTTTGAAATCTTGAAATCTTTTATTCTCAGGATGGCCTGTGGCCAATAAGAGAAACTGTTGTTGTTGTTGTTGTTGTTGTTGTTGTTGTTGTTGTTGTTGTTGTTGTTGTTGTTGTTGTTGTTGTTGTTGTTGTTGTTGTTGTTGTTGTTGTTGTTGTTGTTGTTGTTGTTGTTGTTGTTGTTGTTGTTGTTGTTGTTGTTGTTGTTGTTGTTGTTGTTGTTGTTGTTGTTGTTGTTGTTGTTGTTGTTGTTGTTGTTGTTGTTGTTGTTGTTGTTGTTGTTGTTGTTGTTGTTGTTGTTGTTGTTGTTGTTGTTGTTGTTGTTGTTGTTGTTGTTGTTGTTGTTGTTGTTGTTGTTGTTGTTGTTGTTGTTGTTGTTGTTGTTGTTGTTGTTGTTGTTGTTGTTGTTGTTGTTGTTGTTGTTGTTGTTGTTGTTGTTGTTGTTGTTGTTGTTGTTGTTGTTGTTGTTGTTGTTGTTGTTGTTGTTGTTGTTGTTGTTGTTGTTGTTGTTGTTGTTGTTGTTGTTGTTGTTGTTGTTGTTGTTGTTGTTGTTGTTGTTGTTGTTGTTGTTGTTGTTGTTGTTGTTGTTGTTGTTGTTGTTGTTGTTGTTGTTGTTGTTGTTGTTGTTGTTGTTGTTGTTGTTGTTGTTGTTGTTGTTGTTGTTGTTGTTGTTGTTGTTGTTGTTGTTGTTGTTGTTGTTGTTGTTGTTGTTGTTGTTGTTGTTGTTGTTGTTGTTGTTGTTGTTGTTGTTGTTGTTGTTGTTGTTGTTGTTGTTGTTGTTGTTGTTGTTGTTGTTGTTGTTGTTGTTGTTGTTGTTGTTGTTGTTGTTGTTGTTGTTTTATTTTGAAACCCTAACCGACTATTGTTATCTTACAGAATATTCAAGGAGGTCAGTTACTCAGTACAGGTAACGAGGTCAGTGACTCAGTGCAGGTATGCAATGAATTAATCATCCTATGCTACTTGTCGTACAGAATGTGTTTTTCTCATAGGACCCACTAACGTGACCTACTAATACCGCCGAAGTCGCTGCTACTTCTTAGGGCGCGCTCACACTGCGACCAAAACCAGCGTCTATGCGGCCATGCGGCCAAGTTGCATGGCAACGGCATGAACATGACGAAAACGTCGCGGCCACGTTTCAAATCGTAACCGCGACCTCCGGAGGGGGTGCCACGACTTGGCGGCAACATGATCGTAGACGTGAAGCGTATTTGTGTACAACCTGGCCTGAAGTATGTGCAATTTCTCAAATTCCGGTGTGTTGATTCATGAAAATCGGCGGTTGTCGATGTCACCTCGACATTTGCACATTTTTAAAATTTTGTAGTTGTGGTCCTGCACGCACGCACCGCCATATATGCATTCTTTGCCCTTTTTGGACGATGTCGATTTTGTTTTTGTTTTTGTAGTTGCTTCGTTGTGATCGGGTCAGTGACCAATTTCTACAGTGTACTCGTTCAATACGATGGCAGCTTGGTCTGGCTTTTCGGTTTCGGAAATTATCTTTCTCTACTTTTCTGCGATGTTGGAATGCCATACCTCAAGACATTTCAGTTACATATCATCGGAAAATACAGTTCTCATCTCGGCAACAGACGAAAGAAACCACTACCGGAATTTCCACTGCACTGGCACTTGCTCTGACCACGAGGTCAGGAAAGCGAAAGCGCTTGGATATCAGCGGCAGTCCCTCAAGAGTCCAAACCTACCTGATTGTATGAATTATTTTCGTCGACTTCAAGAATACGAGCCACGAGGCACTTCCTCCAACATGCAACATGCGGAAAATAACATCCAAAACGGGCCACAACTTTATTAGGAAACGCACGAACTCTTTTGGATACGAACTGCAATTCGTAAAGTTTGTGTCACAAGTTCACGTCTACGCGTGTACGAGGCCTAGTGTGAGCACGACTGCCACGTTTCTGCGTTTTGCTGACGCATGGACGCGTGCTGATGATCGCAGTGTGAGCGCGCCCTAAGCGCATAGTGGTATCCCTCACGCAGACGTGTGAGTTGTTGTTGGAGGTGATAGCGTTGTGCACAGCTCTGGCTTTCAGCGTCTGTTTAGCGCCAATCAATGAGCTATTCCTGCTCAAGCTGCTACTTTTGGCTTCACGAGGTGTTGGTTGCGCTGTAAACAGAGCGTAATTGTTAGCCTCTATCCCTAGTGCTATTTGGGTTGCGTGAGCGCTATACAATGTAGTGCGACGTGCTGTGATGTCTGTTGGGCCACCTTTGCAACATAGCCAGTAGTTTCGGTTCCAATTGGGTGCGGATGTAGCACTACAGTCTTGGAACACAATCGTCCTCAGCCTACGCAAGCTCAACTGGTGACGGAATTACCCCTTACATTGTGTAATGAGCAGGGAATGGGGAATTCTTGCAGCTTTTCTTAGTGGAAGGTTCGGTGGACTTCTTGTGTGCTCTTGTTGGCGGTCGTGAGTCAGTCAAGTGTCAAGTTCTGCAGGAGCAAGGAGGCATGAGGGATGGGTTGGTATGGAGGGATTGTGATGGGTTGTGTGGGGTTTGGAGGAGCAAGGGAGGGAAGGAGGGGGGTAGGAGAGAGATATAGAGGGATTGAGAAAGAGAGGAAAGATGGACAGAGAGAGACTTAGAGAGAAACATCCAGTCATTATTCCAGCACATGTGTGTCGCATTGTGAGTTCAATTGATTTCATAACAGTGATGAAGTATGGAGAGTATCATAATCTAAAATTTGAGCCTTTGCATTAATTGTACTGAACAATGGCACAATTGTGTATAATGTGCCATGCACACGATTGAAGACAGGTTTGAAGTCACTGCAAGAGTCGCAAAATTGAAAGAACATAGTGCAGTGCTATTTACCATTGGTCTTAAAATGCCATATGGCCTGCCTACGGCAGAAATGTATTCGCCACCCTACTGTGCTGGCGGTGCAAGCTGGCTGCCCTGATCATGTAGACTAGGCAGTCAGCAGAGATATCAGATATCACTCCAATCAAAACTACAATACAACTCTAGCCAGGAATACTAAGAGAAGCTATAATGTAAGCTGTTACAGAGGCGTGGATCGGTGTAACGGGAAGGCACATCCGTACGCCTAAAGAAACGTGCGGGATCCAATTGACAAAATTTAATTGATCTGCCACAGTTGTCCAGACAACCAGATAATCATTGGCAGAACAGCAATGAGTCAAGTGAACAACACTAAACTAGTTTGAATAGGCACTGGTGTCCATGATAATCATAATAAAAGATAGGAAGGCATTGGAAAGAGGAGACGATTCGGAGTAGGCCTTTGTAACCCGAGGCGTGGTTGATGGTGAGACTGTAGCCGCAGCAACTGTGTCGGAGGTAGTCCGTAGATTAGTAACGGCAGACGATGAAGGTCTTGTGGAGGTGGTCGATGGAGTAGGGCTAGAAGTTGCTTGAGGTACTATGGCTGTTTTCGTTAGAGGAGAGGTTGTACTGCGCGTAGCAGGGTGAACTGCAGTAGTGGTTGGACAAAAAAATCATAATTATATCACTTGCTTTGGAATCAATAGCCTCGTTGGTCGCTTATCCGCAGGGGTATTTGCGTCGTGAATTTGCTGCTCTGGGCGTTGTTGTTTGTTGTATTAGGATCTGAGGTGACTGGGCACGTTATAATTGAGTAGTTGGTCAAGCTTCAGGAACAGCGTCGACGCAGTCACTCACTAGTACAGGAGTGTAAATAACGTGTGTGACGGGAGCAGACGCTGTGCTGTACTCCAGTGAGCGGGCGGTATTGCCGATAACCAACGTATCATCATCAGGCTTGGCGTCAACACGGGATTCCCCGCTGGCAAGGTCACGGCTATGGGAACGAAGACCTTCGTAAGGGTTGCGATGTGCTCGTGTACGCTTAGATAGTAGCGTGTAGTGACGTTCTTGCGCATCAACACTGGAATTTTCAGTTGTCTCCAGATCAGCATACAGCGAATCTTGGGTTTGTTCACTATTATTAGCTGGTGCCGTGGACGACTGCACATGGACAAATTCCGACATTCTGCCATTAGTCATGGAACAGGACTTGGGCGTGACGTTCGCGCTCATCGAGTCTACAGCGTCAATATAGTATGGACCCTCGGACGTGTCAGTTGCTACTTGGCGGCATTGTTCGGGGCGGGCTGTAGCAGGCGGAGGTGGTGTTGGAGTCGGCAAGCCTACCGCTTCTCTTTTTTCTTGTCGAGAGTGGCCGCGTGCTGAGAGAGATTCGCGCTTCATTCGATACAGAAGTACGAGTAGAATGGAGAGGGTGAGAAGAAGCAAGGGAATATTGAAGCCCATAGTAAGTCCGCTTGATTGCCCTGTCCCGGGAAGCATTATGACCCTATCCACCGCTTCTGTAGGACTTGGTGATCCACGCTTGGATGATCCTGGCGGTGGCGAACTTGCATGTTGTGAAGATCCAGAAACTAAAACTTCCGTTGAGGTTGAGGTTGGACACGTGTAGTTAGATGCAGTACCACAATAGTATTGATAGCGATTTTTACCAGTAGCTCCTAATGCAGGACAGCTTTGATAGAGTGTTTGGCAGTTGTCACATGTAGCCTGGTTGCACGCACTGGATGCTGCAGAAATACATGTAAGGGAAAAAATTGTCGGATTATGATGAGAAATCCGTGATGGAAACAGATTTGACACTTTACTAAATGTTTGACAAAGAACACATCTTCAAAATTGCAATCCTCAAGACAGATCACGAGGTCACCTTTATTCTGGCCGCCATCGTGAAACAGATCCGCTTTTGACTTCGGTGCATCCGAGTCAAGGAATCTAAACGCCATAGTAATCAGCTAATTTGACCACCCTTATTAGAACGAAATACATTGTGGCCTTTGTCACTGCTGCATTTGCTAAAGTATTCTCTCTAGCATTTTACTATTGCTCGGCTTAGAGGTCTAAGATGGGAACCGAGTACAATTTTACATGATTTGTGACAGTTGCTAGTGTAGCGTTCAAGCATGCCTGATAAATGTACTAATCACACCTTGCCACTGTTCGGGGAAGTAAATGAGTAGAGAGTACGGGAATGAACGGCACTTACCACGGATGGTCATCGTGACAGGAGGCTCCAGCGCAGCACCATAGGAAAACTTCTGTAAGACATCTGGTGTACTGCCTTGCAGCATTACCCAGGCGACTTGCGGCCAGATAGCTTTTAAATTCAACTGGCATCCGGTTTGCAGAGTCATTCCAATGATAAAAGCTTCTGTCGCACTGCTGTTATGAGATACGTAGTGGTCAAGGCCCACCCCGGTCCATGTAGCAGAACCCATCTTGTGTGTACTAGGTGGAATGCGTTCAGAGGCAATCTGATACTTTCCCCCAGGGAATTCCTTCAATAGCACCAACATCGGATTGCACGACGTTTGAGCCACATCTGCAGTAATATCGATCTTGACAAATGGACAGCTGCTGTAGAAGGATATGTTCGGGAAAGGAATAATTGTCAGCGGTTGGAGAATTGGTCCCACACCAGGCGCACTTTCCAGCTTCATATGATTTGCAATGGTCAGGTTTCCTGGACTTTGTGACAATGTGCATGGTGCTGAGACTGCAAGGGGGAGACAGACAGGTAGTAACATTCCCACGTAAAATACACACACGCATATGAACAAACTTTCACATAGACGTTGTTCTTGGTTGGAAAATTAGAGAGGTTAAGATGCACGTTATTTCCGACGTGACGCGCAATTTCACGTCAAATTTAGCGTAAAACTCCAAATTTCGACGTGAGCAGCAGGTCACTCGCGTTGATTTTTCGACGTGCGAGCAAATAACGCGAGCTGAAGTTTCACGTCACGTCGGAAATAACGTGCATCTTAACCTCTCTAATGTTCAAGCACCAGGCGCACTTGTCAGCTTTATTATGGTTATGAATGATCAAATTAATTATTTCCTCGACTTTGTGATGATTTGCACGCTGAGGATACTGCAATATGGATATAAACACGTTGAAGCATTCCCACACCAGCAAACCAAGCGGACAGACACACATGCTCATTTTTTACCCAGATGAACACGCTCGCTCAAGCACTCCTACAAATACCACCCCCCCCCCCCCCCCACCACACACACACACACACACACACACAAAAAGTAACGAGAGAGCTTGGAAGCTCAGGGCCCTACGCTTTGCTTTTTTGCCTTGATGACCTAGACAAAAAAAGCATGGGGATGTTATAAATTCTTATAAGTTTCTACTTTTTGTTTTTCGACATAACCTGGGATTCGAACCCGCACTATCGCCCTGCATGCATCCCTCGATACACTTCGCATTATAGCAATAAAAACTGCTTGATGGCAGTTTTCTAAAAAAGTTATTGTGTTCTAGACCATGGACCCCGTCTAAAAAGTAAGAAATTAACGAAATTTTGATAGCCGAAAATTAAAATTTCACACAAAACCTCACAATAATCACAACACTTGAAGATCTAATAGTACGGCTTTCAACACTTGTTTATTCCGACACTTGTACTTGTGCAAGTACATGTACTGCGCCAACATGCTTGCATATGAAAGAGGACCACGAGGGGAAAAGGTCGTCTCGCATCCTGTGTGTGATTATTGTGAGGTTTTGTGTGAAATTTTAATTTTCGGCTATCACATTTCGTTAATTTCTTACTTTTTAGACGGGGTCCATGGTCTAGAACACAATAACTTTTTTTAGAAAACTGCCATAAAGCAGTTTTTATTGCTATAATTTCTTTTGTTTTTTTTGGCTAAAGGATATAATTGTGTAACCAATGGAATGCCCTAATGATGGCCTACATGTAGCGCCTCTGCATGTTATTATATATATTATTACCGTATTTTACTAGGGTGTTTCCCACAGACCTATGGTCTTCTTACGGGAGCCCCTATGTGTATCATATCAAATTCAATACCGTATTATACGCATTGATGTGCAAGCCTTTTCTTGCAGAAAATGGAACTAGTCTTGCATACATGTATTCATGTTCTTCTGCAGGGGAATCATAGGTAGTGGCAGTGATACTTTTTTTATACGCAAGTCATTCTATGGATGTTGCAGAATTTCATGACTGTCATAAAATTGTCTTGTCTTTCAGAAAATTCAGATGTCCACACCCTAAATCACATTTACTGGAGAATTGTAACCAGGTGTGTGCCGCAGATGTTTTTGTTGATTCTGTGTTTATAATTGTAGTCATGGGTTGTCGCAAGAGTACATGAAAACCAGAGTGTGCAGCTCGGATGGGTGGCTGTCACGGCGAAATTCCGTGATTACATCATTTTAGTGATGTAGTGCGTACAAGCAGGATTCAAGCAGGTCTCTTTCTGCACAACTGCAGCTCAGTTGTACGCACTACGCCATTTCCCGCCTCGGATCTGGGCCAAATATGATGTAATTACGGAATTTCGCCGTGACAGACACCCATAGCAGAAAAGGCCCCAAGCTGCACACTCTGGTTTTCATGTACTCTTGGTTGTCGTGATAAGGTCATCCGGCATCATATTGTAGTGAAATCGTAATCCGGTTGATGTCGATAAAACTTTTGGAAGCAGTTCAGTGACTTCAAAGTGTCCACGATTGTCTAAAACAACACAGCAAAGGAGGAACAATAAACATGCATTAAAATGTAAACAAATACATCGCTGAGTCCAACACCTCGTTCCAACAACTACACTGATCCTGAGGATATAAGGGGCAAGGATATATGGTTTTAGGTACTGAGAGATAAACAAGGCACTCCATAGGAGTATGAATGATATCCAGTCAAACCTCTTTAGGACGAACATCAAGGGACCGATGTCCTTTGCTCTGTGAGTTTGTGTTAACCCTATTTTATAACGAGTGAATACAATTATTTCTCCAATAGAGACACGAATAGATTTCTTCTACAGCGAAAGATTCTAAGCCAGACCAAACCATTGACTCGTCTTTTATGAAACAAATGAGTCACTGAACCTTTCTTTAGCAACATGACGGCAACTGAAACAACAACAGAGAAAATACGATACATGTATAGCACATTCTTGCAGGTACTACAAACAGATTGCAGATCGTAATTCTTGCTCTACCGGCACGCAACTTTATTTGGGGCAGTGCAATCTCGGCGCTACTCACAAATCAAACAGCCCAGACTCGAGTAAACAAATCCAATCGTACGAGATTTTCACGAGACAAGACTGCACCCATTGGCTTGTTTCGTATGAAGCAAACAAGTCACTGAATGCATGAACCTCTCCATAATGCAGATTTTCCCTGATATGCGAATTTATTTTGCATACTAGTACTCGGCCAATGCGTCTTTGAACCTTTCCCTCCAGATTGGGAACTGCCAACGATGCTATGCCACTGCAAAATTCAGATTCTACCCTATGATCGGAGCACGGAATGCCGGAAGCAATCATGACCAGCGCCTTACTTGTAACGTACCAATGTACAATGAACATGAGTATTTCGACAACACATCTATTTAAAGCCTCAGCAGCAACATAAGCCTTAGCAGCAACATGCAACATAAGCCTTACCGTCAAGAAGGTGAACTCGCGTTCTTCGCACACTGTTGGCAAGGGCAAAGAGAAACGAATGAATCTAAATCCGAATAAAATCAGCACACGTTTCCGTAAATGAAAGGGTGAGCATAAGCAAATGAATCGAAGGAAGCTGGTCAACTCAGAGATCACCTGTCATTGAGTATTCCGTAAAAGTAGGCCTCGACAGCAGAAAAGCTAACTTTAGAAAAGAGATCCTGTCAGCTTTTCCATTATTAATTTTATTGTATTCCACCTAAAATCAGCACACCTTTCGTAAATGAAAGAGTCAACACAAGCAAATAAATCAAAGGGAACTGGTCAACTCACCTGTCATTGAGTAATATTCCGTGAAAAGAGGTCTCAGCAGAGCCGAAGCGAAATAAGCCAGGACACGAAATATCCGAAACAGCTCATGCAAGAAGCAGTTCCAAAGAAGGAAGTTCCTCGCGCATGCACATCCGAAAACGGACTGCACTGCATGCAACACAATGTCTGCCGTGCACGTGCACAGCACGCGGCTACCACGCGTTAGTAGATCTAATACCGAGCACCTTACGTAGAAACAAGAGTCCATAACCCCCCAGAGTGTGCAACTCGTGATCCTTCTCAGCACAAATCAGTGCCGCAACGAAATCCAAACTTCATACGTCATGTAGTGAGTAGCTATGACGAAATGGGAAGTTTGGCCCGGACCTACTTCGCCCGTTTGCCCAATTTGGGGCCTTTCTTTACGAATCCACGGCCAGGTATACGTACGTAACACGCCTGGAAAGGCTCCAGTACACAAAGAATTATTTTAGAGTTGTCGAACAGTTTTCTCCTTTGAGTGTCTCTCCGATAAGAGAAGAACAATGGCCACTGTTGAACCTAAAGCAAAGCGCTCCCCATTGTCGCCGGAGTGCAGAGTCTCTGGGGACGATATTCGTCAGTTTTTGCTCGATCTGGGCTCCTCATTTTCTTCTCTCGATTGTCGAATGTGGGAAATTGTTAATTCTTCCAGCACCTGGATAGAGATTTCGATCGGGTCTTCATGCCGTGTGCCAAGAGCTATTTCCATCAAATCTTGTAAATCTATATCCATGCCTATTCTTGCTATCCCGGAGTCACGAACTCTCCCAATGCAAGCTTTTCAGACAACGAGCAGAGAAACTCTCTTCAAATAAAAAAATTCTGTGACTGTGAAATCAAAGCCGTTCTGCTGACACTGCATAGCCCGTGGAGCAAACGTTTTACGTGCTTCAAAGCAACCTTCAACTTGGAACCCCCGCCGGATGTACCAGATATGCACATGGCCCCATCCGCCCATGCTTGCCCGGGGACCGGATGACGCAATGTTTGGATTTCGTTGCGCCAGACCCCAACCTGGAGTTGCACACTCTGGGGGGTTATGGACTCTTGGTAGAAACTTACGTAGCCTAAGTGAAGTACCGAGCACCTTACGTAGAAACTTACATAGCATAGCGGTGTCGTTTTTTCTGCCATGTGAACACAATAATTGAAAAGCTGACAGGATCGCTTTTCTAAATACATACTAATTCTTCCAAGTTGCTTCACGTTATGATCTTGTATTTGAATGCCCTATTTGAATATGCATTGTGGCCAGCCGTCTTTGAATGTACGGTACGGTGCGGGATAGGTACGGGACAGGTACGGGACAGGTGCGGTCGAGTGTAATACGACACCATCTACTGCCTTGATGACGGCAAAAAAAGAAAAGGGAAGTTATAAAATTTTCAATTCTCCTATTTTTTTAGGCATTACCTGGGATTCGAACCCGTACTATTGCCCCACATGCATTCCCCCATACACTTCGCATTCATACTCTTTCTTCCAAGTTGCTTCACGTTATGATCTTGCGTTCGAAAGCC